CAAAGTCCATTGAAAGCTAGAGAGAATTAAAAAAAGTATAAAGAGTCCTCTTTGCTTAAATTTTGTCGAAGTACCCAACAAAGGGCGGAAAATATATATATATATATATATATATATTTCTCTCCATCTTCGTTTCCTCACTTTACACCCTGTCCGGATGAATGGACATGTGTATCTCTTTTTGTAGTTGCATATGTGCATTCATTTAGGATCTGATGAAGCCAACCAGCAGAAATACGTATCGCTCGGGTTACCTATCCTATTTTCTGCTCGAATCCACTTTCCTTCGTTTTGCGGATTTTGCCCATTATTTTCCTATTTTTTGTTATATATACAGGGTTTCAAGTCAGTAGTGGATCAACGGAAGTCAGGTAATAGAGGGCCTCAAAAACCTATCGAATGAACCCCTATATGTATGATCTGAAATTTCATAGTTCAGGAGATATTTGCAATTTTGTGAAATTTAGAAAAAACGAGATAATGAACTTTCAGTCGCAATTACAACTAAGCCATTAGGTTTAGGGCTGTGATTTTTTTCTGAGATGAACTAAATGGTTAGTTTCAGAAATGGTTATGTTACTTTTTAACAGAGCTTATTAATCAACGCAAAAAATCTTAAATAATGAGCTTAGACATTCAACTCGGCATTCCAGATGCGGGAGCGCTCAATCTTCGGTCCGACCGAAATTACTAAGTCAGACAATGGTCCAGCACTGAATTTGTATCTAACGTTTGGCATCTGAGTATAATCGTATCATATTCTCCGCGAGATTATGTAGAAATGCATTACTATTATGGTGCTGCCCTAGGAAATGCTCAAGCACCTGCTCGCATGTATCGGGAGTATGTGGTTAGAAGAGGTGGACCACAACCGGCGGTAAATCCAGACTACCGCGTTTTTCTACGCGTCCATAATGCGTATATGGAAGGCCGCATACTAGACACTCATCGTCAGCTAGGAGCGCCGATGTTAGGCCCAGAAGAAATAGAAGTAATAATATAAGCAGCCGAGAGAGATCCCTCTATAAGCACAGGAGCCATTGCCCGAAGCAGAAACATATCCGCTACTTCAGTGCACACAATGCTACGCTCGGAGAACATGCATCTTTACCATGTACAAAAAGTACAAGAATTGCTTCCAAGCGACTATGCACAACGGGTTGAATTTTGTGAGAATATGTTGAGAAGGTGCGAAGAGGTTATAACTTTTTTCGACAGCTTCTTATGGACAGATAAATCCAACTTTGACCGACATGGAATATTCAACATGCACAATTTCCATTCATGAAGCGTGGAAAATCCACACGCTATTCGCCGCCACAGCTTTCAACGTCAGTTCTGCCTTAATTTATGGGCTGGAGTACTCAACAAAAAATTAATTGGACCATATGAAATGCACGCCAGGTTGAATGGTCAGTCATATCTTGCTTTTCTACAAAGCAGTTTGCATGAGCTGCTAGAGGATGTATCTAAAACGCATGTTTTTTTAAATGAGTAGTACAATCAAAATAAGTATGGGAAAAATATTGTATTGTATCAAAATACTCAGAAATACATGCCATTTTTTGAGTAAAACAAAATTTACGTTCTAAAAACTATGTCGACCACATGGCGCCCTTGAGCCGAAATGCAGGAATCAAGCATCTCCCGAAATTAGCCCATTGCGTTGGCCAGCACCCGTGCAGGAATTTGGGTTACTTCTCTGCTTGTTTCCTCCTTCAAATCGACGAAGGTCCGAGGCTTGCTTTGGTAAACTTTTGATTTCCGGTAGCCCCATAAACAAAATCACACGTTGACAGGTCCGGGCAGCGAGGGGGCCATGGAATATCACCATGACGTGAAATGAGACGTCCTGGGAATTTTTGCCAAAGAAGTTCCATCGAAGTGCGAGCTGTGTGAGATGTTGCCCCGTCGTGTTGGAACCACACTGTTTTGAGACGGGCACGTCGACGTTGAAGTTCCGGAAAAAAAGTTGTTCAGCATGTGGATGTAACGCTCTGAATTCACGGTAGTTGTTTCTCCATCATACTCAAAAAAATAAGGGCCCATAATCATTGTTGGGCCTAGTGCACACCAAACTGTAACTTTCGGGGTATGCAAGGGGTGCTCATGCAACTGTTGGGGGTTCACTGGAGACCAATATCGACAATTTTGTTTATTGACTATCCATGTAAGTGAAAATGTGCTTCATCACTGATAAACAACGTCATGTCATTGTTATCCAAGTGTTCAATCATGAGATGTGCAAAATTAACACGTTGTGCATAATCCCCTGGAAACAGTTGTTGACAAACTTGGATTTCGTAAGGATGGATCACTAAATCCTTCAAGATGCGACGTACAGAGGACGCGTGGATCCCTAAGGAACTGGCATGCAAACGGACGGAACGATTCGTGCTTTGCAGCGTGCCAACTCTCACACTGTCTAAGTTTTCGGGGGTTCTCACAGTACGGTTTCGCCCTGGCGGTTTTTTCTTCATCACATTACCTGTTGTGTTGAATGCTTCCACCCATCTCAAAATGGTGTTACGGTCTGAAACTGTCCCACGACGTGGAACACGTAAGTGAACACGAAACTCACGTTGCGTTCGAACGACAGACTCGCCATTTTGAAAGTACCAACGTACAGTGAACACACGATGGTCAACGTTCCAAACCATCTTGCCAACTGAAAAGGCACTTCTCCCACTATCCGACACGCCCCTCCCCACCAACACGGGACCAGCCCACTCGATGTAGTACCCATTCGAAAAATATGCGTTCTTTCTGACGGATCCTGTAGGTGGTAATGATTCTATTGCGTTTCTTACGTTTATGGCATCACAACAACGCATGTGACATGATACACTCATCGTAGCAAGCTGAAATTTTCAGGGTTTATTCCACATGGATATAAATAGTTTTTACAATAAAATGAATAATGAAATACAACCTCAATTTTGTTTACCGTCCTCCAAAGTTGAGGGATGGAAGAGATTTTTAACAAAAAAATGAATTTATGATTTTTAGCATTGATTTCCAATAAGCTGTGTTAAAAAGTGACATAACCATTTCTAAAACTAACCATTTAGCACATCTCAGACGAAAAATCACAGGCCAACCTAATGGTTTAGTTGTAATTGCGATTGAAAGTTCATTATCCCGTTTTTTTTTCGAAATTTCACAAAACTGCAAATATCTCCCGAACTATAAAATTTTAGACCACACATATTGGGGTTCATTCGATAGGTTTTGAGGCCCTCCATCACCTGACTTCCGTTGATCCACTGCTAACTTCACACCCTGTATATATAACAAATAAATAATTCCGCAAAAAGGATGAAGGTGAATTCGAGCAGAAAATATGACAGGTAACCCGAGCTATATGTATTTCTGTTTGTTAGCTTCATCAGGCCCGAAATGAATGCACATATGCAACCACTAAAGTGGATACACATGCCCATCCATCCGGATACGGGTGTAACGTGAGGAAACGAAGATGGAGAGGAAAAAAATGACACGCGAAGTCCCCAACAAGAACCAACGTACACATTGTAGTATAAAATGGCTAGAAGACCTGTACCTGTTCAATGGTTAACAGACCACTCTACATTCTGCCAGAATCATCAGCCATTTAGCGGCACGGCTATTAAAGGGGTTCTGCGACGGTTCCGACTAATAGCAGGGGTGCGCGATCTACAATGGTTCGATTCTGGTGCGATAGATGGCGCTTCGCGCTAACTCATGCTGATAAACCGTACCTCCGGTATAGAGGATCAATGTGATGCTTTCGTTTGTTCGTACAGAGATAAGAGACCAAGCATATACCATGCTGATCAGTAGCTAAGAATCACGAAACAACTGACCATGGTTGATTGTCTTCTTTTCTTGGTCTTACTATATTTTGTTATGTTTTTATAATAGTCCCAAATAAAATCAAAATCTTCGTTTCTCGAGTGGTTAATTTTTCTGTTTATATAGCTAACTTGGGCCTTTAAAGGGGGCTCAGTAGTATAAGGGGTCAGTCAATAGCCCTTAACAAACGAGGGAACCTAATTACTCTTTCAGATCCGCTGCTGATGTCGGCACATAACTCGCTCACTACAATGAACGTAGGCACCTTTCGCTTCAGTGTTATCAAACACACTCTGAGTTACCAGCATTAGTAACTACATTTTCCTACTATTAAATGCCATACGTTCACTTTTCACGTCTCCACAGTCAAAAAGTAATCATAATTGTGATTTCACACCGTATTTCCCACTTTCATTTCCTGTATATTGGGTATGACGACACACCATTGACCAGCGTCTATTGCCACCTTCAACAACCGGGGATTTTTTTTTCTGTCTTTCGCACTTTTGAAATTCAGTAAATTTGCAATTGTAATCTCCAGGATGAATAAGAAAAAGTGGATGCGCAACTAATTTCTAGCTTTGCATACCTACATCTCAAGTAAGTGTATTTGAGACAAGAGACCAAGGAAATTATCATCAATACAGAATCATCAGCCATTTAGCGGCTCGGCTATTAAACGGGAACTGCGATGGTTCCGACTAATAGCAGCGGTACCGTACCTCCGGTATGAAGGATCAATGTGATGCTTTCGTTTGTTCGTCCAGAGATAAGAGACCAAGCCTATACCACGCTGATGAGTAGCTAAGAAGCACGAAAGAGCTAACCATGGTCGGCTGCCTTCTTTTCTTGATCGGACGGACGAAGACATCTCATTTTGTTGTCTACTATATTATTTGGAGTTGTAGGAATACAATTTGCATTATTATTATTTGACAAAACATTGGAAGGAGAGTTGAACCGGATTTTATGAACTACTTCGGATAACCATTATTAATGAACAATTTAGAGAGCTTCCGAGAAAGCAACTCAGTCGAGGTTATAATCGGGCTGAAGTTGAGTTGCTATCCGTGAAAATAATGGCTTACAACTATCGACAAGTTACTAACTGTTTTGAGGACCACCAACAGAGTTTCGTTAATTCACGATATTCGATGTGTTCCCAGGTTACGAGAGGTTCTTGGGTCCGGAGATATTCTTCCATCCTGAGTTCGCGAATCCGGACTTTACTACACCAATCTCGCAGATCGTGGACGACATGATTCAAAACTGTCCAATAGACGTGCGGCGACCCCTTTACAATAACATCGTCCTTTCTGGAGGATCTACAATGTTCAAGGATTTTAGTCGGCGACTGCAACGTGACATCAAGAAGACGGTGGATGCCAGACTCAAGCTCAGCGAGACTCTTGGAGGAGGAAAATTAACGGTGAGTATAGGATTTTTCAATGATTTTGTCGACTACATATCAATCAGTCTCCATGTTCTACTGATGTAGAAGGTTTACTAACGTTTCGGACACCTCGGTAACCTTTTTCAAACTACAAAATAAAAATAATGTATTTTGGTTATCTATCTTCCTAGTCATAGACAAGACAAACAATATGAAGCGTCCTTTCATTCGTATAACCAACTTCAACCCGTTTTAATCAAATACTCTTACAACCTTTCGATCGTGGTTATGGCGTCATGACTATTTAAGCTAAAGATGTATAAGAATCAGTGAAACACCACTTAAAAGGGAATAAATGTAAAGGTCTTTAGAGATGCCGATATTTTTATTAGTTCATTGCAGTCATAAATCGGCCGATTTCCTGCCGCTGCTTACTTTTTTTGTACTATGTATTATGTTCGGCGTAATGTGATACATAAACATTCTGGGTATCAATGAAACAAAGTAGAAATTGTACGTAGTTTAGTATAAACTACTAGTCGATGTGCTAGGGTAAAAATAATGGAAAATGGCAAAGACGGGTAACGTTTCTCTTGAAAAACGGGGTGCAGTTTGTACCTTACGTGATGAGGGATTGCCAATTCGAGCGATTGCTGACAAGCTGCATTTAGAACGGAACACTGTCTCAAATTTTGAAGAAAAAGAGAGAATCAGGCAGTGTCGTAGATCGTCCACGCTCTGGAAGACGCAGAGGTACAACTGTTCTTAAGGATAGATTTACAGTAATAACAAATAAGCGAAATAGACATTTAACTTCGCTTGAACTCACACACAGCTTGAACAGAACGAGGGAAAACCCTGTGTCCGTGTCCACGGTAAAACGCCGCTAGCAGATCATCAATAAGGCTGTAAAAATGTTCAGTTTTGATTCAATATCATCATAGTCGATAACACCTAGCCAGTGCATATTAGACGCTACCTCATTCAAAAGAGACTCATCAATATTCCTTAAATCACGGGTCTGTACATATTTTGTATCTCTAACGGCTGGTTCACATTCCACACAAAAAAAAACTAGATAGTGATCGGACACCGCAGGAAGATTCACAACTCCTTTATTAGCAATCTTAACTTCATCATTAACGAAAACGACATCTGTTAAGGTACTTGTTATTCGTGACCCGAGACAAAGACACATTCAGGACTACTACAATCAAAGAAGTTAATATTCAAGTCGCCCATGCATACTAAACCCTCTGATGTTGGAAATATAGATGTCAACATTTCCTCCAGCTCCGACAGAGTTCTATAGCTGACACTGGGGGGTTTATAAACTACTCCAACCGTGTACTTTTTTCTGTTGACAGATATATTTACCCAAAGCTGTTCAAAACCACTGTTTACCTCTGCATGCAAGTTCTCCAGCATTGAGCATCGTAAGCCAACTCTGACATATAAGGCAATACCCCCGCCTCGCCTATCAACCCTGTCATGCCTAAAAAGCTGGTATCCCGCAATTTGTACATTACTTTTAAAAACGTCTGGTTTGAGCCAAGTTTCTGTGAAACCAACTACGTCAAAGTTTTGAGTGAGAACATAGTCCCTCACATCATGAAAAGAGCAAATTAGCGACCTAACATTGAGGCACCCTATCATTATATTATGCTGCTCATTATGAATGACATCAAATTCACATAACAGAGACATAATGAAACAAAATATAAGGATATAAAAACAAACAACAAGAAATAAAAAAGAGTATGAGATAAACAGATTAAAAAAGATGGATAAAAAATGTGTTGTATGGAATAAAATATGGAATAAAATAGAAATAAATAATATACGTTAATAAAATATATTATTATTATAAGTAGTTCTTAATCACATACATTTTACCTGTAATAGATAGATATATAAACCTTTACCTCAGTTTGTAAAGTCATTTCAAAAAGGCACCCTTGTCATGTAGATTGTAATATAGTGGAAATTTTTACTTGTTCAACTTTGAATAATGGATCTCCACTAAATATCGACAAACTCCATAAGATTATTAATAATTTCAACTCAATCATCCCAACTGAAACTGGCCTATTTAAATACTAAAATGGTCTATGGCCTATGGTTTAGAGCAGGGCTGACCAACATACGGCCCGCAAACTCCTTTCTTGCGGCCCGCTTCGCGGGTCATGTATACATCACATGTATAAATTACTCTCAAATACTGAATATGCACAATTCTTACATTAACGATAAAATACAATAACATGTGACGCCACTGGCGACCGATAGCAGGCCGCAGCGAATTTACTGGAAATTGGACCGATCTCTCGATCATCTCCGAATATTCGAGAAGCGGGACAGACAGTTTTGTTATAGTGCTAGTGCGTTTTAGTTCGCAGCAACTCTAAAGCCTTTTTAAGTGAAATACTCAGTGAAATATGTCTTCACAGAAACGAAAAATAACGAACGAACATCGAGTTTATAATGACCGTTGGGAATCAGAATATTTAATCTCAAACAATAATAATAAACTTCAGTGCATTGTTTGTATGCAAGTACCATCGGTTCCTAAAGAATATAATATGAAACGATATTACACTACGTTACACGAGAAAACGTTTTGGCAATATTCAGGTGACTCGAGGCAGGCTATCATAACGGAATATAAGAAAAAACTAAAACAACAAACAAGTTTTTTCAAAAAATCTGACTCTGATAACAAGTACAGTATTGCCGCCTCTTACACAATAGCGCTGGAAATTTGCCAAAGCAAAAAAAACCTTTTAGTGATGGAGTGCTTATCAAAAAGTGTGCAATAGAAATGGCGAAACAATTCAATGAATTAAAAGTTGCCGAAAAATTTGAACATGAACATGTATCCAAAAAATTGCGTGACGTGGTTGAAAAATGTAAATATTTTTCGCTATGCCTGGATGAAAGCACTGATCTTTCTGACATTAGCCAGCTTGTAATTTTTATCCGAACTATTCAAGACGACTTCAGTGTAGCAGAGGAGATGCTTGACCTTATTCCTCTCCATGGAATAACCAAGGGTACAGATATTTTTCAAGCTGTGAATAAGTTGGTGTCAGACTACGGGGGATTTGATAAATGTTCCTGTATTGTCACTGATGGCGCCAGAGTTATGACAGGGACTGAAATTGGATTTGCAGGACTATTGAAACAAAACAGCATAAATTGTCCTATGATACATTGTATTGTTCACCAAGAGAGCTTATGTGTAATATTGTTAGAGGGGGCAATCGTGCTTTGACTCACAGAAAGTTTCGTGATTTTTTGGCTGAAGTGGATGCTACATATGGGGACTTGTTACTTCACACCGATGTTCGTTGGTTAAGCGCCGGAAAGTGTTTGCAACGATTTTTCGCTCTAAGCAAGGAAATTCGTATTTTCCTTAAAATGAAGTGAAGTCCGACACTACGGAACTGGAAAATCAAATGGCAGATGCACAATTTTTAGCAGACCTTGAATTTTTAACAGACATGACATCTCACCTTAACGAATTGAATTTGAAGCTACAAGGAAAACAGCAGAATATAGCCAACTTATTTGGACACATAAATGGGTTTAAGAATAAAATTAAGCTTTTCAAGTCTTCATTACAAAAAAATGATTTTTTATTTTTTCCAAGTTGTAAAGAACATTTCGAAGAAATGAAGGATTTTGAGGAAGTTTCATATTTACCTCATATAAAATACATTGACACAATTGCAGAAGAATTCAAAAATCGATTTAGTGACTTTAAAAAAATCGAAAGCGACATTTCAGTTTTTACTCAGCCACTAACAATTTCTGTTGAGAACGTAAGCAGAGCAGATCTTCAACTGGAATTGTGTGATTTGCAATCAGATCCTTTTTACCAAGGAAGAACTGAAACTGGCTTGCACTTTTTCAAGTTACTGTCAGGAGAACGATACCCCAACTTGCGAAACTTAGGACTTACAATGGGATCAATAATGGGAAGCACTTATCTTTGCGAAAGCAGCTTTTCCAACATGAAATTTATCAAGTCAAAGTATAGATGTTCCCTCTCTGATAAGTCACTTACTCAGTTACTTCGTTTATCAACAACAAATATTAATGTTAATATTGTTAGAAAACCAACATCCTCAAATGTCCCACTGATTTTTTTGTAATTTCATATTTTTTTAATAAATAAAAATAATAGAGAAACTATTTTTGTATATACCTATTAAAACTCAGTAATAATGTTGTATAGAAAGATTTTATAATGTGGCCCTCCAAACTGCATTTTGTTTGAAGTGGCCCTTGGGCCACATTAAGTTGGACAGCGTCGTTGGAGAGCGTCAACACCAACATAATTTCTAGACAATAAAGACCACATACATTTTTAAGCTTTCTACGTTAAATATACGCCGCGCTTAACATTAAGAGGGCGTTAACAGATGTCCATAAATGTCTCCGAAGACTGTCACAACAATTTCCTATATTCTTATAGGGTACAATAGACGCAAGGGAGAGGGTATAAAGTTATGACGTAGCGGGCATAACCTTAGGATATTCGAATCCTAGACTCTGTAAAAATTTCAGCGTTCGTTCGTACCTGTTGAATGAATGAATGAATCTTAAAATTAGAGGCATCCCGGCCACCATAAGGAGCCAGTGCATAGGCCGCTTAAGCGGGCCCTAATGCACCTCTACAATACTTGAATCACAAGCCTCGCCCTTTTAGCGAAGTTGAGAATCGCCTTGAGTCCAAGCTCCTTGACGTCCTGAGGGTCCAAAGTAATGGACCCCAGTATAGTCTGCCTATAGTAGCTCAGAGCTTCACATCGACACAAAACGTGCGCCGAGGTCTCTTCCTCTACTCCGTAGCGTTCGCACAAGGGATCCTCAGCCACCCCCATCACGTGCAGGTGACGCCTTAACGTGTTATGGCCAGACAACAGTCCCACCAGCAACCTTAGGTTGGCTCTACCCAGAGATAGGCAGAAGCGTCCATCCTTAGCACTGGGCCCTTCAATGAGCTCTCGTGCCTGGCGGAGATGTCTAGA